ACATGCAATACATCTTTGTTTTCCTGTTGTACCTTCAACAACAAATACTTAGTAATCTGACCCTGGAAATTACATTTTGGAATGTTCAAATATGGTCCAAAAATTATATTCTTGAAAATCTCAACGCCTTCATCCTTTATGAACTTTTTGATTTCATTCACAAATCATAATTGAACGTTGCTCCAAGCCTTAATGGATATGCTGATATTTTTTTGATAACATAATTCATGCCCTGTTTATACAAAAAAAAAATTGTACTTGTATAATCTCAAACATATGTTGTAATGAAGAGTGAATGAAACATTGAATATAATTTGTAAATTCAGCAAATACATCATGATTTTATAATGATATCATATCAAACACGTTGTGAAATGCATAAGATACATGAATAACTAATAAATATATTGTACATGAATTTCATTCACATATACCAATTACATATATGTATAAGACACTTGAATTATAATGTATATGATACATCGTATACATTCATTCACAAATACTAATTACTATATGTATAAGACACTTGAGTTATATGATGTATATGATACATCATATGCACTGACAAACAAAAACTGTAAAAAAAAACACGTAACATCAACAAATGATACATTAATTGAGCAATTTATGCATATGATGCACCTTAAAAACTGTACATACATGATGCTTTTATTGAATTTGAAATTAGTGAATTTGTCTTCATTGTTAAATGACTTTTAATTCGATTTCACAAACACATGCAACAATGTAAAATGAGGGGTTTAATATATCAAGAAAACACAAAATCAACCATTTTAAATCGATATTGTTCTAAACATACTATGAAAACATTGAATTGATAAGTAATGTATCTTCACTATTGATGTATTCAACCTTTCTGTCCAAACACAACCGACACCATAACAAAAACATAAAAAAAATAAAAGTTTGTTTAAATACATACCTTAGGAAGTGTGGGTTGGGAAACAATATATGTCACTTTTCTTCGCCCCTTTTTTGGGATTTCTCCAATATTTTTCTTTGGCTTGACAACAATCTTGTTCTTCATCGTTAATGAGTCATGCAATCGCTTGGATCTGTTCTCGGCCCACATTTCATCATCAGAATCATATATACGATTAAAATTAGTATTAGAAAAATCAATACTATGAGATGGACCCTGTTCCATATGAATCAGTAAAAAGCACGAAGAAAACAACAATGGAGAATAAAATTCTTACCTATTTAAAACTTAGAAATTGAAATACTTGAGAGAGACTCCTACTGAAAATCAAATTGATTTGAAATTTGAAACTGCTAAAGATGGGAAGAGATTTTAGGAATAAAATTAAAGAGTGTAATTGGTAATGGAAAACCTGAGTGTTGGCAGAAAAATAGGATTGGATATTGACTGTACAAAAGGTAAAAGATATTTATGTATCTTACAGATTTTATTAATTGAGGAAAGTAAAAAAAAATTAATTTTTTTTATAATAAGTAGGAATAAACGAATATTAAGATAAATAAAGAAATTTAGTTAAGTAATTTTTCGGAACCCACCTTGTAATGTCAAACATCACGAGAAGCTTATAACAGGAAAATCTCGGGTCTGTCCAAATTATCCCATTTTGAAAAATTATTGGGCTCGAAGCTAACATATCCAGCTGATCGTAAGCCCAAAAACGTGTGACCTAAAGCCCAATACATCACCGAGCAAAACTCCATTATACATATCTGTCAACTGCAGTACCTCAATGCATTTTTCGAATAACCGCTATATATATATATATATATATGAGATCGAGTGATATTTCATTCCTAATCATAACACATCGTCTGGTTTTTAGTGTCAAGTAAGTATTGGTACTTTTTTGAGTACTCTGAATATTACTATACCTGAATTCACGTATAAGAATGTGCAGATAGATAATTTTTCGTGAGTTATAATATAAAGCAGAATGCTTAAAAGGCCCTTATTATTTCTCTGCTTGTTAAACCTCTTTCGCAACAAATGTTAATTATTTTGTCCCTTTTTGTGACGTGACGTTAGGGAGTCAAATTCCACTTAAACAATTGATCAATTATTTCATCTACTACTATCTTTCAATGGTCTTTTATTCAATAATTGGAAAAACTAGACATTATGATGTAGGATTTGGAAGCTTGATTTTAACTTTTTTATTCAAATAAATGGTTGCATATGGAAACTGCACATATTTTAATTTAACTTTAAATTATGTTCTAAAAAGTATAAATTGAAAATTCATATTGTGATTTCACTTTTCTTCACTTTATAATAATATATTTAAAAAATTCAATTTTTTTTTTATATTTTACGAAAAATCTCATGATCGACTGGAAAAGTTTGTACAAGGTCTGTACTTTATACCATGTCGGCGATTTTGTCAAAGAATTGTGAGTTACTACTGAAGTTGGTTTACTGAATTAGTACTGTAAAATTATGTGTATTTAAGTATTTATATGTAATAACAAGTAATCACACAAAAAAATAAAAGTATAAGAAAAATATATAAAAATTGTTGAAGAAGAAAGAAACTAACATGGAACAGGTCCAGAGCAGTTGACTGACCTATCTTCAACATGTTTCAATCTTCAGCTTTCTTCTTCATCAACACTTATTGCAGATAGATTAATCAAGTGCGTTGATCTGATACTTTTGACATGTTTTAATCTTCAGTTTTTTTCTTCTTCAACAAAAATATGTGATCCATTTATTTATTCAGCGCATTAGGATATTCTAATGTCTATGAACTGTGATTTACTCATTGGGAGTTTTAGTAATTTGCAGAAATGAAGGAGTTTACTCTGTAAAAAACAACAGCGATTTACTCCACCGTAAAAAATAAAATCGCTGCCTACGTAGCGATTTTTATTTAAAAGAAAAAATTAAAGAAAATCATTGCCTAGGAAGCGATTTTCAAGTTTTTTTTTAAATCGTTGCGACTTTCAATTTTTAAAAAATAAAATAAAAAACTTGAAAATTGCTGCAATTTTTTTTTTAAAAAAATGATTTTCTAAAAAAAAAATTAAAAAAATGAAAATCGCTGCTATTTGAAAATCGTTGTCAAGGTAGCGATTTGAATTTTTTTTTAGAAAAAAAAATCACATTTTGCAAAATCACTGCAGAGTAAATCGCTGTTGTTCTAGCGATTTTATCATTTTGATTAATATAAAATTTTATATACCATTTTAAAATTTTTGTTAATATTTTATACCTTTAGGTTTCGAACTCTCTTAAGTAACTTAAACGGGTCATGAACTAATTTGATTTCTATGAATGCATCCATTTAACACCTCTATATTAACTAATATATGTTTATTTTTTATATTGTTAATAAATAAAAATTTACTGAGGGAGTAATATCATGTGGTTTAATTCCTAAAAGAGAAAATCATGAGTGAATAATTTCACTTGCAATCAGTTGGGGAACCCCACAAATTCTTTAGTGCGCCTACTCAACGTCCATTTGTTTCTTTGTAGGTGACCAAATTTATAAGATCTAAAAAGCATCGGCCTAAAAGCTATGCTTTGGTAAAACAATTATTTTACCAAAAAAACATTCAACAAAAAAACAAACTTTCTTCAAGCAAATATAATTTCTCTCTTTTTAAGAAATATAACTCTCATCAATTTCTCTTTATGCAATAGCTGTTGGAATTTAATCTAACTTAGCTCGGATAATTAACCTTTACGAGCCTAGGTCTAAAACAGACCAAGCACTTGCACTAGGGGTGTACAAATTAAATTGAAAATCGTGTCAAATAGAAAAAAAAGTTTAATTAGTAATTTGATTTGACTTTGTTTGATATTGAATTTTTTTTTAATATATTTGAATTGGTTTGATTTCAATTCAAAAGAAACAATTTGAGATCAAACAAACTCGATATTGTATATATAATATTATAATTTTAAAATTTTATTTTATACGTAAAAATATTTACTTGAATATAATTTTTAAATATTTATCATACTTTTTCATAGTTTTTATCTTTTAATATATTTCATGTTTGAAAGTTACGATTCTTAAATCTTAATGGTCCAATAAATATTATAATCCATATATAATGGTAGTTATAATAAAGCTTGAATCGAAATCCTGTTAATACTAATGGAAAAAGAAAAATAATAATAATAATATTAAATATTTGTTCTTAGTTTTATATAGGTTTAGACAATTAAAATATATAATTTACTTTTAATTTCCATTAATATTTAGTCATGTAACTAACACTTATTGAACTTATTTTAGCATGATTTAGTACTCTTAAATTATGATCATTTTCACAATGACTTATTAATTTGCAATATTTGTTTTACGAGATTTCATTATTATTTTTTTGTTTGATATTTTATTGTCATTAATCATATCATATTTTGTGTTATTTTCTTAAGATAAACCTTAGATAGTTGTATTTTGATAAGTATATTTTTGAAAAATCCAAAAAATCCGAAATTGAAAAACTCAAATTTATTAGTTTGATTTGATTTATATAATTCAAATATCTGACACAAATAATTTAATTTAATATTTAAAAAATATGAGCTAACCTGATCATGTACACTCTTAATTTATACTATGTAAATTAGGAGAGCGATAATTTTTTTATGGATGAAAATTAAATCATCATCGATCTTGCAAAGACTTTCACGCAAAATCATCAAAAGCAAACCTACCGGAGATTAAAAAAAATAATTCATCTTGGTCTTTCTATTGGTATGAATTTCAAAGAACTTTATCTTTATCTCTCAAGAGTCACGATAAGAAATCAGACAAAAAAAAAAGCATACTTATCATGATTTGGAAACCATAACTCCACTAAAAACACATAAATTTCTCTATGTTTAGCATGGTCCACATAAATTAAAAATTAAACATTAATTTAGACATAAAAGTCCCTTTTTGTGGGATAATTTTAAACACTTTGAAATTTTTATCAAACTTTTTATGATGGCAAATGTATATATCCAACATTTACGTCTCCTTTTATAATCCATCAAAATCCATCTTCCTCATGGTTGCAATATTTTTTCTACTATATATATAGCAATTGGTCACTCTATATATAGTTCCAATATGCGCTAATATTATCAAATACAAATTACCATTTCACTTCACCTATTTATATATCCCCATTTTAACCAATTTACGCGCGCGCTAATATAAAAAAAAAAGATAATGGGGAACGAATTGATGGTTTTTATGATAATGGTGATTGTACAAGTTGCATATGCCGGAATGATAATAATATCGAAATTAGTGATGGATGGTGGCATGAATGCTTTCGTTCAATCAGCTTATAGGCCTATTTTTGCCACTATCTCCATTGCTCCATTTGCTTTCTTCTTAGAGAGGTATGTATTCTTCTTCCCACTTACCAACTTCTAAAAGATAAGAGTATTCAGTATTATAGTATCACTAATATATGTAAGCCACAGGTCAATATGTGTGCTTTTGTGATCTAAATTTACTATTGAGGGTATTTTGGTCATTTGAAAGAGTTTAAGCAATTCAATTGACTTGAGAAAGTAATGTACGGTAGCTACTTCATCAATGTCTATGTATGCTTTTGACAATCATACCCTTTTCAGGGGACATTTTTTCCGCATCCAAGTTATTGCGATCGCGTGACTGTTTATTAAAAAAAAAATTGTTTTAGAGCAAATAGTACTCTTTTAATTAAATCAAGATATTTTTCGAAGGATAATTGATTAACAAAATAATATTTTTTTCCAATACAGAGTAAGATATAAGTAGCAGTGACTCTAATTACTAGATGACCTTAGTTTATACTAATATAAGAGGGGTTAATTACTTAATTAGAAATTTCAAGTGCGAACTTTGAAATTATAATAATTCTGGCATAAAATGTTTGTTTCAATTATCATTATCTCTCGATTCAGTTTTTTCTTTTCTTAAATCGTTTTATTTCGTCACATTGACAGGAAAACTAGACCCAAGATGACATGTTCTGTACTTTTTCAGATATTTTTGTGTTCTATTTTCGGGTAAGTATTTTCTTTTCCGTTCAAAAACATGTATAGTGTAACACTCTTTTTTCCCCTAGCTATTTACAATCACTGATCCAAAATAAGGACACCAATCACGAAATTTTGAAAAAGAAACATTAACTTTTTTTCTTCTTATTTACTATTGCTGATCATATCTAAAATCCTTAATATTAGCTTAAAAAAATAAATTTAATTTTAATTGATGGTGTTTTTAGACCGAAATGTGGAAGGAGAAGTAGTTTGAATCAAAAGCAAAGGTGGAAGGTATTTCTAGACCAAAAGATGAATGAAAGATATTTTAAAACATTTTCTAATAGATTAGGGTTATTCTTGATCCTTTATTATGAACTTCAATGTCTAGAGACAAAAATGTGGGAAATAGTGACTTAAAATCAGTTAATATTTGAGTGAGTGAGTTATAGAAATCATTGATGTAAATTTCGGGTTAAAATATAACAAGAAAAATCAGCTATAAAGAGAACTTGATTGTTATAAAAAATGATATTCTATTACAAATAGTAATTTTTATAAATATCGAATTTATTTTAGATAGTATCACCAATTCTAACCTTTTGTTTTCTTATGGTAATATATACAGGATAACAGCGAACCAAAACATATATTTCATCGGGCTAAAGAATTCAACTCCAACAATTGTTTCCGCTATTGATAATCTAATCCCAGCTTTCACCTTTATCATAGCTGTACCCTTGGGGTAATTAATTATTTTCTCTACGAATATTCAAAAGTAAAAATATCAAATTGAAACATGATAATTAATGGCTGTAAATAATTTTAATTTTTTGTGGGTGCAGGATTGAAAAATTGGGATTAAGAAGTATAGCAGGACAAACTAAGTTTTGGGGTACAATAATATGTGTTGGAGGTGCAATGTTATTGTCATTATATCATGGAAAAGTTGTTATTGGTCAATTAGGATTTCACTGGAAATATGCAGAAAATACAAGCAAAGATGTCAATTCTGCTAATTCTAATTTCTTTTTAGGACCTTTTCTACTTATAGTCTCCAGTCTCACTTATGCCATTTGGTTAATTATTCAGGTAATTTCGCTGTTTACTCTCTGTTACTATAATATCGATCTTGCATTTATTGATTTAGCGTAAATAACTCTTTACACGATTTTTTTTTTTGGGGATTAATTAGGCAAGGGTAAACGAGAAGTATGCAGCACCATATACAAGCACAACGTTGATGTGCCTAATGGCAAGTGTGGAGTGTGTTATCATCGGCTTTTGTGTCGTTCCAAAACTTTCTGAATGGAAATTAAATCCTATTAGAGCTGTTTCAGTTGTCTATAATGTACGATTTTTTAAATGCTTTTTAAATATTTATTAAAAAGTATGTATATATATATATATATACACGATTATTAATTTGCTCATGATGATGTTTTATGTTGATTACAGGGAGCTATGGCTACGTCATTTACATATTTCCTGAGCTCGTGGTGTATTGAGAAAAAAGGGCCCTTATACGTCTCGATGTTCAATCCTTTGTTCTTAGTTATTTCTGCATTTCTTAGTTGGATTTTGCTTCGTGAGAAATTATACCTTGGCGTGTAAGTATATATATAGCCTAACACTTTTTTTTTCCTTAATGTGAAATTAATTATAATTTCTAAGTAAAATATTAACTTTTTTTCTTTTTTTCGAAAAATATCAGAGTTTTAGGGTCGATTATCGTCGTGGCTGGGATGTACGGCTTTTTGTGGGGCAAAAAGATGGAGACAAGTGCAGAGGATATTGATGTACTAGAATTAACAAAAGAGAAGAAGCAATTATCCACTAAATTACAAGTTGATTTGGAATTGCAATTAACTCAGAATCCCAAGGATAATAACAATAATAATATGAAGCAGATCACAAAATCCAAAACTGAACTATGATTGATTGTGCAGTCAAAAAAAAATTGGGATACCACTTGGAATAAATATGAAACTAATCAATTCCTAATAAATGGATAAGGTTATTTAGTCATTTTTTTTCCATTGAGGCTTTTGTTTTTAATAAAATAAATTGTAGAATTAATATATGAAAGTATCTCTCTCTTCTTTATTAAATATATATATAATCGTATATTTGCTACTTATGTTGCAAATCTTTCTTTCATAACCCTAGAAGAAATTGTTCTAGGGTTCAATCGTAATTTTATTTTGATTAATGTTCGATCATATCGACTATTTGATTTTGTTTAGTAAATTATAAACCACTATTTATATAATATATATGTCGGATAATTAATTACTATCATATAAAGTGAAACTTATGTCTAATATAAAGTCCAATGCATTATTAACACTATATAAAGTGAAACTTAATGACTAATATAAAGTCCAATGCATTATTATCACTTTATGTTATCTAATTTTTTTTCTCACATATTACAAACGAAATTTACTAATTCAATTACGAGACGTATCAACTAATCATGCAATTTAATTAGTGGAACAAAAATAATGTTAGGATTTAAGGTATATTACTTTAAGTAGTGTGTTACCATTTTCTCGTGAACTACCAACTTTTAAAACTTAAAAACATTTTATTTCCCAAGAATTTAGAATAATAATACACACTTTTTGCCTGCCACTCCTTTTTTTCATTTTTTTTCGTACATCTTGCATTTGCTCTTTTGGTTGTAACTGGTACTATAATGCATTGTATTATTGCTTACTCCACCTTCTTTTTATCACTTCAACTGCAATCGTTTTCTTTTTCTTTTTTCTTTTTCTGGTACAGACACTTCATATATATATATGGAGTATTTAATTGCTTCACTCATGTTCTTGCCTTTAAGTGGTTTCCTTTTTATAACTTTAATCAAACACTTGAATAGCCTTTAATTTTAACTTTTAGTTCTTGCGACCAATATAATTATAGTAGGGAATCCTTTTGAAAAAAACCATATTTTGAGACTAAGATTTTCATTTAATCAAAGGAAATAATAGACGTGCAAGATTTTAAATGAGTATTTGTATTATGCTTTATGTGACATACTTTTTTTTTAGCTCATCTTAAAAAGAATACGATTACATAACTTTAATTTTTTTTTATCGTTGATAAAATGATTAGTATTATTGAAAACAAACTTTAGATCCCTAAGAAAGTTTAAATTACGTAGCTTTAGCGTTTTCTCCATTATGCAAACATAAGACATTATTTTTAGGATATATGGTCCATTATTAAACACTGGTCGAATTCTCCTTTTTACATTTTTTAAAATTGTTTATTATCAAGCATTATCTTGACTGGGTTTTTTGTCAAAGCGTTATACCTTGACTCCACTTATATGATTAGTGGTAAAATTAAAAGATATGTCCTTCAATATATTTTTATTATTGGCTGGTGTTATCAGGTGAATGAGTGTTTTAAAAAAAGAAAAAACAGTCAACGTGCACTTCTTTTATGAATCATCAAACATTAGAATCCCCCTTGGGCGTAGCACTAAGCAAGCATCATGCACCTTATCCGCTGATTAAGAAAGAGAATTTCACACCATACGAATATGAATATAAAAATATTAAAATTAATTGTTATTTTAATATTTAAATATATAACATCTTTCTTAAATTTAAAATTTATAAATATATATAATTTATTAAAATATTAAATTAATCTATTATATTATATTAAAAAATTATATGATAATTGAGAATGATGATAATTAGCGATGATGATTATGTTTGTTGATTGGAGATTATGATAAACCGTGATGATAAGTGATGACTGACAATACTAACTAACAATAGTGATTGATGGCGATAGTTAGTTGAAAAATAATAATTGATACGAATGATGGCTATAATTGATATGAATGTTCCATTGTAATAGATCTGTGGCAAACAGCCCATCACTAGATCCCAATCCTCATGTCTAGAGTTAATGGATTCATGATCAGAAACTATCATTTGGTCCAAATATTTGTTTCTCCATAAAAAATTTAAAAAAAAAAAGAATTATATATATAGAACAGAGTAAAGTTTTCCTTTTGGAAAATCTGAAAAGCTTTCAAAATAATTTTACACAAACTTTTAAACAAAGAATTGAATTTTTTTTTTTTTTTATAGATTTAAAGAGGAAGGGTTTTTTTTGAAGATTTGGGAATTTTCTGGTAGTGATTTTCTTCGCCTTGCCTTTCTTTTCTTGATAATGCCTGCTTTTATAGAGATCCTCGGACTTCAAATTTCGGATTTCAAATGTAAAAGGAATCTTATCATCTTGGCCGGGTACACTTCTGGGCCCCATCGTCACGTGAAATGATGTTCCTTTTCTTGCATTAGTGTCCTTGTAATCTGGTATCCGTTTTATCTTTTTAAGTGTGTCCCAACAGTTTTTCCACAGATGTGTGGTAGTGACTAATATAATAAAACCAGCATAATATCACATGTCCAAATGGTGATTTCATTTCATGATATCATATGATAAGGTATTACGTGGTTAAGCGCCTACTTAGTGGGTATGAATTTTAGGATTTGATTGACAAGATAATTGCAGCTCCAATTCGCACTTTGTTCCTAATTACGGCTGCTTCAATTGATCTGTTTTTATCTCAAACCTTCGACTTCTCTTTCTCCTTTCCCCAAAGAACACCGTAGAATCCTACAACACTGAAATTCACGAAAATAAATCAACGAATACCATGAAGGCAATTTAATAGAAAATTAAAGCAATAATAATAACGAAAAGTGAAACTAAGACTTACGTGCCAATATATATACTTTTTCACGAAGCAAAGCCCAACTAAGAAGGGCGGTGAATGGTGATGATTAGCCAATTGAAATAGAAAAAATAAGTTCATAAGTAATTGTTACATTGTAAAGGATGGCAATAGTTCTCTTTCTCTTACGGTCAAGAGACCAAGCAGCTTTGCCATGAACGACACAAACCCCAATTATAACACATTGAAAACTTGTCATTAATTAACACATCAACATTATAAGGAGCTCCATATTAAACCCCAATTAATCTCTAGTTTTCCTGGAGTAACCGACAAATTTAGCAATTAATTAGTTTTCAAGTTGGATAGGACATATGAGGAAATATCATTTGATTAAGCCTGAGACAAAATTTATATTGCTTTTAATATTGATGAGAAGATACATTTCAATTTAGTTACCACTCGAAGAAGTAAGCAAAAGGAAATAGTGCCAATTATTTGGCGATAGGAAATGTGGATTGCATTCTATAGCTATTTTTCCTACTTTATTAGAGTAATAATAGATTGTGTAGTGAGGTTTAAAAAAAAAAAACAGACAGCATATTCACGTTATACATGACTAGCTACAATTTACAAGTCAGAGCATTGTGCATCATTTCTTTTCCGTAGAGTTAAAGGAATACTATTATTGTATAATAATTTTTGAATTTTCAATTATCGTGAGATTATATAAAGTGAGAACTAACGAACAAAAATAAAATAAAATCAGACTTGTGTTTATTTACATAAGCTAAGAAAAAGAAAAGATTCGGCTGATAGGCCCAATACACATATACAAATGGGCTGGTAACCCTAAAGCTGCTGTTTGTTGAGCCATGAAGAGAAAGTCAGCACAAAGGAAGTTGGAATGTGCAAATTCAATTAACTTTTATTCCATAATTTGTTTTCTCTAATTTATAATGCACTTTCTTTTTGCTTCTCTTTAAATTGTTGCTCATAATTCGTAAATTTGGATGGTACATTATGATGTAAACATAGACTAAACCTTCAGGTGACTAATATAAGAATCTATCACCATATAAACGAAAACAATGGATGGAAAACGAATCCAACTTGCCATGCCGACTGCTGTGTGTCGTGTCATGTGTGTGGGTCTAACCACATATAGCCAAACATAAAAACTGCTAAAGCTGATGGAGTAAAGATGAAAAGGCAAAGATAACTTCCTTTCTAAAAAGTTGATACAAAGCTATCGAAAATAAATTATACAATTATATTTCATTACAAGTTAGAATAAGTATTTTAAATTAAACATTGGGAAAAGAACAAAACGGGGACAACCTACTACGATGTCAGTGGAACCCACACATTGTTCTGAATGGCCCCTATTATTTTCAGCAACTGCCAACGTTCTAATTCTAAAAGAAGAAGTGAGTAGTGACTAACAACACTTCACTAAGTAAAATTGATGAGAGCAAAATAACATGGGTTGCCTCTCATGTTTGCCGCACATATTACAAGCTTCAGCTTACATTATACTTTTCATTTTTTTCATTCTCTCCTCTTTCTCAAACCCAGTTCAATCTCAGTGTAAAAATAGACCAGTCATTTTCAATTTTGGTGATTCTAATTCGGATACGGGTGGACTCGTTGCCGGACTCGGGTACCCCATTAACCTTCCAAATGGTCGAAATTTTTTCCGCCGTTCAACTGGCCGTCTCTCTGATGGCCGCCTTATTCTCGATTTTCTATGTAAGTCCTTTTTCTCATTTTAATTAATTGTACATTGAGAAGTAAATAACATGAATGTGTAAGATTCACTGCATGTATTGATTGGTAGGTAGAGAGTCATATCTGTGAAATATTGTGAATTGTGATGAATAATTGATTGGGTCCTACATGGATTTTTTTTAAGCATTTTGGATTACATAAGTGAATGCAGCTTTAACTGTTCGTGCGATCAAATTGAGGTAGTAATTAATAGATTTACTTTCCAAAATTTATGATCCTTGAGAGTGAAAATTTTGATTAGGTAAACTATGATCTCTGTTGTACGTATTATACACTATTTTCTTGTTAATCTTTAGAGAAGACCTGAAGTAGATACCCTAACTTCCACAGCTCGCACGTGTGACCGATAGTTCAATTATTGTTCCAAGGCTCCCCTTCACTATGTACAACAAGCAAATTTGAAAGTAAAATCTGCGGCGTTTCATTTACCTGAACTCTGTTTTACAATGTGATACTCTTGTAAATATCAAAATACTCAAAATTGATAACTCATTGATGGTTGAATATGTCAATGTCCAGAATGAACTAATGATCTTCAGAGAATGGTTTACTTAGACTTTAGTGTCATTGGAAATACTAGGCGATTCAGTCATATAAGGAAAGACTGTAACACTACAGTGGAGCTTAGGGATTTGGAGTTATGTTTTATGGAACGTTGAAGTGGAAGGTGATTAGGACCTCAATTGTCAATTGAATCTATCAGTTTAGTTGGGGATCAACCAAGTGCCTGGTCTTCTTTTTAGTTATTATTTTGCAGAAGTAGCATGTGATGTGACCTTCTTTCTGCAATCACAGTGTAGGTTATTGTATATATACATGCTAGTTTGTTATGTAAGCATGATTTTACTCTTTACAAGTATCACGAGATACCAATGTATATGAGCTGAGATTGCAGTATTGTCAGCACAGGTCAAAGTGTTAATACAAGGTTCCTGTGCCCATACCTAGACTCTGTCGGATCTAGTTTCTTGAATGGAGCAAATTTTGCTATAGCGGGATCCCGGTTACTACCCAAGTATGAACCATTCGCCTTAAATATTCAAGTCTTGCAGTTCCTTCATTTCAAGGATCGCTCAATTGAACTTGTTAGTGCTGGTAATTCTTACACTTCCCTTTGATACTCTGTCTGACACTCTACTGATAAAATATGCAAATAAAAACAAAAGAAACGTGTGCTCAGAAATGTGAATATAATTTGACTTGTCTCATGTTGTTGCATTCAGGGTCTGGAAATTTAGTTGGTGATGAAGGATTTCGAAATGCTCTTTTCATGATAGATATTGGACAGAATGACCTAGCCGATTCATTTGCTAAGAACCTGTCTTACACAGAAGTAGTCAAGATGATCCCCTCCTTTGTTACAGAGATCAGGAATGCAATTCAGGTAATTTCTTTAATCACTAATTGCTCACTTTTCCTTGCTTCCCTGCCGAAAAGAAAAGAGTAAATTAGGTGCAAGAATAGCAGTAGCTCGCTATGTTAAAAAACATGGGAAGGATAAAGTTAGTTAAGAAAGGTGGCATCACAAGGTTTTTTTAAACATCATCACAAGGGCAAAGATTTGCTGAAAGTTAGCTTACTTAATTTTAGGTAGTTCTACAGTCTGTTCATTCCATTAAACTTTCCAAATGTAGGTCATATATTCTCAAGGAGGAAGAAAATTTTGGGTCCACAACACCGGACCATTAGGATGCCTGCCTCAAAAACTTACTCTGGTTCAGAAAGTTTCTTCTGATCTCGATCCGCATGGCTGTCTGGCAAATTACAACTCCGCTGCTAAACTGTTTAATGAAGGGCTTCGACATTTGTTGCAAGAGTTGAGATCTGAAATGAAGGATGCTACTATGGTGTATGTAGACATATATGCTATCAAATATGATCTTATAGCCAACTCCAGCAGTTATGGTAAGCATAAAATCTGTTCTCGTTTGCTTAATTCCTAGTTCTTGGGTTGTCGATACTCAAAATGAATCTACTAAAGTTGGTACTGAAAGGCTGATATTATTAGTGGAAAAATGGAGGAGATAACATTCCTTGCTCTTGTAAATTTAAATTAAAAAACAAGAAAATGAAGAATTTGACGTCTCGTGACTGAATTCTAAAGGTCTTAGAACTTCATGTTGCAAGGATGATGGCAAGTAGATATAGAATATTCACTTATCTTATACACTAGTGACATTTACTAAGATATCCACTTCTGTGGAAACTTCCGAAGTACTATATTTCTTCTTTTCATACCATCATGTAGAGAGATTCAACGTAGTATATACTCTAGAGCTTCAGCCTGTTTGAAGATAATTGGCAGCTTACTCATACTACTGTTCATATATGATGATTCTACATTTGCAGGCTTCTCAAATCCGTTAATGGCTTGCTGTGGCTATGGAGGTCCTCCGTACAACTACCGTAAAGGAGTGACATGCGGTCAGCATGATTATCAGGTTTGCAGTGAAGGGTCTGAGTTCATAAGTTGGGATGGAGTTCATTATACCGAGGCAGCTAATAGAGTTATAGCTTCTAAGATACTGTCAATGGACTACTCCACTCCACGAATTGGCTTCGATTTCTTTTGCCATTGATTGTCATTTGCTAGAATAAAGTGCAAGCATGAATTGATATATGTTGCTTCAGAGTATTATGAAAAATATTTAATTTGGAAAAATAGAAAAAATGATTGGTTATAAGAAAGAGGCCAGGTAAACTTTTTGCTCTTAGTTTTGAAGTCACGATCCCCTTTTCAGTCCAGTTTTCCCTGTTATTTTAGGCATCTATAATGTATTAATTAATGTTGTAAGCAAGTCTTATGATATTAATTATTAAACCCATTAAGTCTTTGTTTATTTTTTCTTTTGCAAGTAATTCACATCATGATGTGTCTTCTAGTTGACATAATCCAAAATATAATATTTCTTGCTTATGTCATCCATGAAAACCACATGCATCTGAACCCACAGTTCAAAGTCCTCCTCAGATTAACCAATCTTTAAAGCAGGGTTGAGAACAACCCGATGATCTATTCGAAACAACATTTCTATTTCTATATCTCACGAGATAGATTTAAGTCGTACATTACCTAGATTATAATTGTGAGACCCAATATGTTGTTGGTTGAGAATAACGAATTAATATCAATAGTTGTGGATTTGATCCCTATTCTTATATATACAACTAAAGCATTTTATTTTTATCCATAACTATGTCAAATAATGGGGCTTTTCACAAATTATGTACTCAATTGGCTTTAAGCATGCATTCGTTGGTCTCAATGAACCCAAGTGCATCTTGAAAAAATGATCCTTATTTTTAGAAGAAAAAAAAACCTAAAGATGATTGATTTTATTTTTTAAAAAATGCAAAGTTTCGTGTATTATGCACAGGAAAAGAATCTCAACTCCTTTATCATTTTGTATGACATAAAATATTTGGGGAATCAAATGTTCTTTATTTAACATCCTCTCAATCATACAAAAAATATCTTGTATAGCCTACATTTCATATACGTAAATCAAGTTAAATTGTGGGGTCTGTAAGTGTATTAGCCACATGACTATAGTTGCAATATTTGTAGGGGTCAGAAAAACAGAGAACCAAAGTCAAAATTCATCTATTTACGTATGAGTCCATTGAATCAACAAAAAATAAGTCAAATGTACACACATAACATTGCATTGCGTGCTGTAGCAGAAATCTAACTATGTGACCCCATATTTTGTCCTTGATCAGTTAAGAGAAGAAGAAGCTGCACTAACCATAGATAACTTAAAAAAAGAAAATCATATGCTAGATTTATCATAAGTATTCCGATTTGAGTGCGAAAATAAATTAATCGAACCAGTAAACTAAAAAAAAAAAAGAACTAGCTTACAGTGAAAGATTGAGGTCCAAGTCTAACATATTACATTTTTTTTCTTCATTTTTTGTTCCTTCCCTTTGTCCTCCTGTTTCATCTTCTTCTACTTCTTTGCTTTGTTTGTTGGAGTTAGAATTGGAAGGACCTGCAATTGCAGAAGCCTCAATTACCATGAAATCTCGTGATTCATGAACTGATGGATTCCAAATTCCAACTGCAGAATTGTTATGAACTGAATCTCTGTTTTCTTCCAAAATTTTGGATCTCTCTGTTACTTGATTTCTTGCTAACAAACGGTCACGTAAATCTTTAGTGCTTCTTATAAGAGCAAAAAACTTGTCAATTTTCTCATCTTCATCTTCATCTTCCTCTTCCTTTTCTAATCTCTCATTCTCCAAATTCTTCCTCTTCCTTCTCTCTCTATCCATAATCTCTTGATGTGAAACAAAAATTAAGGCAATGCAACAAAATATGAAAGATAAGGTTGTGTCTTTATTATTAATAAAAGAAACTACTCAATCCCCAACTGCCCTTCCCACAACCCCTACCCCTCCCTGCCCTTCCTAATTTCGAAATTTGACGAAGGATGTCATTTTTGTTGCTTAAAAAATGAGAAAATTGAGTGAGTGTGTACTTTTTTGCCATATATATATAAATACATAAGCAGAATATATAATTATTTAATCAATATACATATACAATTCACATTTCTTTTACTATTTTCCCCTCTCTTCTTTTTTCTCTCTCTCAGTTTTGCTCGCCTCTCTCCTCCAAATAACATGTAGCTACAATTTGTAATTATCAAACTATAGCTATAGAGAGTAATTAATTATTTTTAAGTGACTATATGTGAAAGTTTTCTAAATAATAATGATTGGTATAGTGAGTTCGATCATTTTATTTCTATTAATTGATAGAGTGTTGAACATAATTACTCATGATGTTTTTCAAAGACGTTCACTCAATGTTAATAACGGAAGGTATAATAAAAAGAAAAAAATATTCTTTTTTGATTTATTAAAAATGACGTGTACAAATGGAAATCAAATTAGGAAATATTTGATAAGTAAATAGAAATGAAGGAGTATTAATTTGATATGTTCAAAAATTACACGAAAAGTATTACAAATTATATTTTCTTTACATATCAATAAAATAAAAAGTATATCGTAAAATATTAATCAAAATTTTTATAATAATTTAACTATAAAAAGGGAAAATTTTGATAATTAAAAATAAACAAAGGTAGTATATTAATTAGCCTCTTGAATACATAAATTCTTGGGTCTTCAAAGCTTGTTTAACCTTAGAAGGTCATAAAAATTCTAAGACTAAAATGAGAAAAAAACTAATTATTTTTACTTTTATTTAATAAGTGATCAAGTAATATAAAGTAAATATTTTAATAAAATAAATATTTTAAGTAAAATGAGAAGGCATCACTGTATTCCGCACTACTTTTTGTAGTTACTAATCGAATAACTTTTCCATATTTTATTTTAAAGGTATCATATATAGTGGTCTTCGAAAGGGGAGTTATGTGGCTCATTGTAGATGTTCTTTTCTTTCTTGGAAAAATTAAGTGAAATGATAAATATTTAAAATATATAATGTAATATAGTTATAGTTTTAATATTTTTAATTTATAATTATAGTTTTGTTAAATTTTGTTATTCAATTTTCTGATTATATAGATCTAAAACTTTTATATGCTTATCATAATTATTTGTTTATGATTTATGAATAATTCATAATAATTTATAGTATTTCTATAATGACGGATGAGATATACAAACGGAATTCTTAATTTATATACACATTCATATTTATATATTTACAAGCGAAATATTTAAAAGAACAATCAAAATATATAAATTGTAATCTTCGTAACAAATAAAATTATATATATAAAGTGTAATTACTAACATTATAATTATAGAACTTTACTATATTTATTATTTTTGCTATTTTTGAAATTTTCTCTTTTCCCTTCTTTAACAAATGGCGTAATAGGAGCCCATTCCTCCAAAAAAACAAAACAAAAAAAAAGTCAGAATGGAGAGAAGAGAAATACTATAAAATGAAGCATAAAATTATATGCTCATAAAAAAAAAGAGCAATAATTTACAAGTTAGTCTCACAAATACTACTTACTTACTACTGAGATTATATTTATCGTTGAAAATTTAACATTTTCTTTAAGATAATAAATATAGCCCTCTTCCCAGGGATTAAAAAAAAAGAAGCAAAAAATAGATAAATAATTTACAGTGAAAATTATTGGTTGAACACTTTTTGGAGATGAAATCATCTTTAATTCATCTCTATTTTACTTTTCATTATTTATATTTATAGATAAAACCATTTTCAATCCACTTCTATTTTACTTTATTTATATTAAAATAAAATTAATTATTTTAATCTCATTTTATCATTTATATTAAATGTTAAAAATAACATTATCTTAATCTTATTTTTAAATATCATGCAATGTTTTGGTGAGAAATAAAAATAAAATAGTAAATAACAAATATCTTTTACTATTTTAAGGAAGATACGAAAAAGCTACTGTGGCAATTATGGTATCGAAGGAGAGTATAATATGGTAAGTATGCTGCTCTATTTATTTTTACTCGTAAAATAAATTTTTATTTTTATCTATTATTTTACATATATTAAAAAGAATTACATATTTATTTTTCGAGATCAAATAAATATTAACGGAGAAAGTAACTAAATCTGTCTACAATAACCTTTACTAGTTACTGATTTATCTCACATCCTGATAACCATAATTAGATATGCAATTTGCAATGTGATATTGAGAGAAAAAATAATTAATGATAATGTAGAGAGAGGAGTGCATCATTCTCTACGACAGCCATTATGTCAATGACCGACCAGAATATATGCTATGCCCATACTGTGACATGTGATATATGACAGCCAATTCTAATTTTATTTTTATTCTTGGCCCTCTTTTACTGATGTTGATGAATACGGTAAAAATATCAGTTCTGTTGGAAATCATATTCAAAGAAAATAAAAATATGTCAATACAACTTTTAACTTTCTGCATAGTCACCAGGACTAGTTAAATTTCCTGTTTTTTTTTTTTCTTTTTCGATTTGCTATTTTACTCGAAACTCGTAAGTTAAAATTCTTTTTTTCATTTATCAATAAGGACAGGTCGGTCAGTTTTTTGAACCGTAATCAAGAAGTGTGTGCTATTGCGTGAAGCGGACATAACTCAAAATGTGTTACAAACACTTTCCTGAAGCAATTTGTTCGACACAAGTCAAAAGTATGTGTTCAGTAATAAATCATGTTATGTAATAACAAGGGGGTGTCAGGCAGAAGGGAAATATTTTTAATGAAAGATAATTTTCTAAAATATATTTTGTTGAAAATAAGTGAGTTATTTATTTATTTATTTATTAATGTTTGATAAGTAATCAAATAATTATTATCTCAAGAGCATTTTTATCGTGAACATGGTAGGGAGTGGGAGTTTTTAGGGTGACGTGGTGGGGATCGGAACGTTGAGTGAGTAGAAAAGAGATAATGAAACTTGAATTGTCACTTGTTTTAAATTGTTATACCTTATATTTCATTAGAGAAGTCATTTTTCTCATTTTTAAGAAACTTGATTTAATAAAGAAAAAAAATTTAAAATATTTTAACCAATCAAATATGAGAAAATTAAAAAATATTTTTAAAAAAGTTATTTTTTTCTCTGTATCAAACACAGTCTAAAAGTGATGATTCCTGTTTAACACGTATATGGCCACGTTTATGCGTTTCCGAGTCAAAACACTAATTACTAACAAATAGATAATCAAAGAAACTCAAAAGCAAATCTAACGCAGATTTAGGAAAAGATTGATTGCATGTGACTGGATTTTGCTTTTGCTTTAAGATATATTCCAAGCAGTAGAATTTTATTCTGTTAAGGTCAGTGTGTTAACCTTTTTAGCAAGTTTAGTAAATACCCAAATTATACGTGCTCTTCCTGTTGCTGACTGAACTCGTCCTTTCTATTTAAAAAGTGGAAAAGAACTAGCAGCATATAGACCTTCAGTTAGGTTGAAAACGGACTCACAGGAAATATTCATTGGATGTCTAAAACTTATACAGTAATTCAATTAGGGATGACCCAAGAATTGCTCTTCTATAACTTGGGATTCATCTGAACCTTGGTTGGATTTTCAAGTATTGGATTTCCATCGGTATTCCATTTTGAGTTCAACTAACTCGAATTCACGCCAAAAAATCTCATCTAAGAAACTTCAAATATAAGTAAAATAATTCAATATAAAACCATACAAACTTCTCACCATCTTTCAAATGTGTAGATCAAAGTTGGGAAATTGCCAAAAAAAGAGTCTAGTTAAGCTCATCTTTCAACCTCTCCAAAATGCCTTGTCCTATTCTACCCCCCCAAACTACGAAATAGTGATCAATCCCTATAGTGACATGATTATTTGACTAGAACCACCTAACTTATGTCACTATGCCAGCTTCACACATTTGGTTTAAACAACGAACAAATATCCACCGTCAAAGGACTGACAATGGGACGCAATCACCAAAATAGTTTTTACTAATATGTCACTATGCCAGCTTGACATATTACCCTCATCAAGTAAACAGAATCCACAACAAACAAGCAAGTGGCGCCAACAATACCAAGCCAACTTTCAAAAGCTAGTGCCATCAATCTCATTAATCTAAAGTCTTAACTTTTTCTGTAGTGTGTAACAGGTGTGCAAATTTTCTCACAATGATTCCATCTCAATCAATGATCACTAAGATAAGTATGGAGAGTGGATTTCTAATAATTCCTTCTTTAGGAATTTCAGTGTTTGTATGATGTATAACTGTGAAATTCACTAATCATCCAACCACTTGACTCCATGTTTAGCCCAGAGATTACCGGCTTTATCTGGACCCTTGCTACCAAACTCGTAATGCTCAATTGTCGCATTATTATTGTCTAACTCACTTAAAACTGGAGATAAAATGTTCCATGCAGCTTCAACCTCATCGCTTCTCATAAATAGATGGTTGTCTCCATCTATTACATCATGAAGAAGTTGTTCATACGAATCAGTTACATCAACATTGTACCTAGTACATCAACAAGAGAAAACAATAAGAAAATATGGAAATGGAGATCCTAGCACAACACTAAATTCACAAAATTACTAACACAAGAAAATAGAAAACATTACTTGTCTTTATAAAGCAAGTTCAATTCCGAAGCCTCCAAGTTCATGCCTAATCCTGGAATTTTGTTATTGATTCTGATGAGTATGGCCTCATCAGGCACATCACGCAGAATCAGCTCATTAGTGACAAGATCTTGCTTATGCCCTCCTCCGTCTTTATGATAAATGTTTCCAGGAACACGCCGAAATTGTATACGAATTTCAACTCTGAAACACATCAGTAAGGATAAATTAGAAAGAAAAGACCTATTTTGATGATTATCAAAATCATGCATCAAATTCATTGGATTATGGAACAGATATGAATAGTTTAAATGGAACATGTGGAAAACTATCATAGCAACAATCTATCTACGC